TTTTAATTTCAGACTGTTTTCAAAGCAAAATGATGAACCAGGTGCTGATACCCTGGATCTTTGTCACGTGATAATGCCTATGGTTTTTGCAGAGTAGGCTATGCTGCAAGTAACGGTGCAAAATGTAGGAAAATATTATTATTGTTTCATTCGCAGCTGTAGCATATTCAGAACAATTTTTACTACTTGAATAGCTTCAATTTTTATTCACCGTGCACTTTTATCACGTCATCTTTATCCGGAAAATCGTGAAGATTTGCTTTCAAATCTCACACACTACCAGGTTGGGGAGTACCTATTGTATACTCTTTATATAACCATAAATTACCAATTATCTGATGAGAAATGGTAATGAAATTGAAACATAATAACAATAATTAATACTTAATTTAAAGCAAGTTTTTAAAATATTTTACTTTTGATATAATACATGTCATCATTTAAGAACTGCTTTACACTACAATAAAAAAATAACGTACGTCTCATTTCCCCATGTGCACTTTCTAACACAACCACGAATAGATCGGTGCTGCTGCGGCCGATAATAATTCACCTCGTGATATCTTTCCTCAGGTAATTTTTTGAATTCAAAATTCCGTATGTGACTCATAGGTAACATGTTTTTTAAAAAAACTTCTATGACGTCACCCAGTAAGGGATAAATAACGAGATGATGTTGAATAGTTTAGAGAAAACATTCTCTCCGACGGCCGAAGGCCCGAGGAGGGGATGTTTTCTCTAAACTATTCAACACTATCGAGTTATTTATCTTACTTAAAAAAAATCCCTACTTGGGCCCCAAAGAAACATTTACCCATTCAAATATCCAACTTGCTGTAATACAATAGGATGTAGCCCATTTGAATATCCAACCGTGACACAATAGCCTAATCGAACACCCCTTTTATTCTTGGACTAGTGAGAATGAAACTACATGGTGCTGATTTTATTTTAATCCTTTTCATTGTACTGAACAGTCATGGAATCAGACGAAGAATGTTTTTAAATCCAAATATAGTGTTTTGAATACTTTTGACCTGAAAGCTGAAGAAAACGACAGAATTTTGATAAAAGATTGAGGATTTGTTATGACATATTATACGATGATGGTTTGTTGAGGAAAAATGTTGGATTCTTATGGAGTTCCATTCGGACAATACTTCTACGTGCTTAAACAGATAAAAAAGAAAGATTGGCGGTGTTATGCTGAACCTGCTTTAAAAACATTCCATATCAAGATCTGCAACAAAAATGGTGTTGAAAAATAGATTGGTTGTAAATTAATTTAGTTGTTTTGGGAAGTATGCCGGAAAAGTATGAAACACAGATGAATCTCGGATAATCTGAAGGGATTTACTGATAACAGAACCTGAAATGATATTCATCAGTAAGAAGTGATGTAGTTTAAGATTCAAGGTGAAAATGTATCTATATGTTAAAAAGTGATGCTTTCATATTTTAAGACCAAAAACATTTGTAAAAGTGTGCAAAATTCGGAGGAATTAATATTTCTGTGAGCTTTGGAAGTGCATTTGAAGCACGATAAATGTGATAGACGCGAAGTAATTACAGTAATTCCGTGTGCACTGGAAATTATTTCTAATATTCTAATAGTGTGGCAAACTTGGAGTAATTATTTTTTTTCATGTGCATTGGAAATACATTTTAAAACTGTTTTATCTCTTTTGTTCTTTGTTTTATGCACCTCAGTTGGATATTTAAATATCCAACCGATAGGCAGTTGGATATTTGAATATCCAACTGATGGCAAGTTGGATCTTAAACATATCCAGCTAGTGCTGATTGAATCGGTAAAATATACGTAGACTAATAACAATGGGTGACGTCATAGAAGTTTTTGTTGTTAGATACTAGTAGATTGTAGAGAAACTGTGTATTTTAAAATACATCTTTTATGTTAGTGACACGTACAAATAATTATTTTCATCTTAATTGCTTTCAAATTTTCACTAATGCTACTGAACTTTGAAGAATCACTTTGTCATTCACCTCATGAAGATATACCCCCCCCCCCCTTCAAAATGTGTGTCAAGAAAAATAAGATACTCTAGTGACATTTCAGGTTGTTAAATATGATAGTGTTCTGAAAGATTTGTTGCTATTATCATTATGTTGTTTAGATTTAAATGGTACATGTACATGCTTAATTATCTAACATTTGTCAACTTAATAAAATGTGCTGTCAAGCAATTTTGAACTGAAATACCTCTTCAAAATCTTTGTACAAGTCTCTCTCTTAGAACTGCTGCTGCAACATTGGTGGGAAAAAACTGGAGCAAAAGATTGCCTGCCAAGATCTCCACCATGAGTGGCACCTTTTCATTTATGGCCAAGTTATGTAGCCTCATAGCACATTCAATAATTTTGGTGCACTTTTCTGGTTTATATATATAAGACAAGGACCCTCCAATTTATGCAGACACCTGTAGGTAAATAGTTTCAGGTTTCAGATCTTTCCTTTCAATAAACACATTTTTGCTTTGAAGAAAATTCAATTCACAATGAAACAAAAGCTTGCCTAATTTGAGTGTGAAAAGTGAAAGTGAAATACCTGAAACGAGCTTTCAGCACACCAAATGCTCTTTCTAGTACGACAGTGAGCAGAGTTGTAGCGTTCCTCTTGTCCACCCCTAGGGTTGCTGATAGGTGCCATTAGCTGTTATCTATAATAAAACGTTGCAAATCCTACATTTAATCATGGTCACAACCCGTCTGAATATTGTGTATGTCACTATCAAGACCATTTAAATGTTGGTCAAATTATATAATCATTATTATGCCTTAAAAGTTCTAAATAAAGGCTCTATGTGTCACTCTAAAGATCTAAAATCTGAATTACTATGGCCCCGCTGTTCTCAATCGCCACAGATTTCTCCTATATATTCTTAATACAACTGTGATCGCCTCATCCTAACCCCAGGGTTGAAATTGGCTTAGTGGTTCAGGTGAAGAAGTAAAAACTGTGATTAGTTTACAATGGAATAACAGAAAAAATAATTTGAAACACGGAGCATAGTGCCTCTTTTTCTCTTTGAATAAATTTTTCTTTTTTCTTTCTTTTTCTTGAACATAATATGTACGCACTTGGCAGTTGCGTATAGGCAGCTACGCGCCTGAGTTTATGCATTGCCACTTTTCCTAAGTATTAAGAATAAAAGTAAAATTTGTGAGAGTGCAAGGATGTGTAAATCAAACCCATCCAAAAATTTGAAGTTTCAATAACTTTAAGATGAAATAAAATTTTTAATATATTTTTGTGTGAAATGCTATTAAAATATATAAGTCATGATATTAAACAGAAAATATTAAATTCATATCTGTGTCCATGCACCTTTAGAAAGAATAAGTTTTCATCAATAGATTTTGATCAAAAGATAAAGAGATTTTCATGCGTAATTAGCAGAGAGTATACCTTTTTTCGGTGAAAATAAATTGAGGTTGGCAAGGAAACAATAATTATAAACAGGGGGTGGTGCTAAACTCTAAATCTTCATTTCAGGGATGGGAAGGGGGGGGGGGGGGGTTACAGTAGCATCCGGCATGATGAACAAAGTCTTTACTTTCAAAATTATCGAGCACATGCATCTATGCAAATTAATTATATTTTTAGCAAGTTCAGGATTTTTTTTTACATACGGACAGTTATATCTTTCGGTTTACGGATCCGCTGACATGATTTTTTTCAGGTTTTAGAAAATGAAATTAATGGATTTTATCACCCCCTGTCGGTAATATTCCGGAAAAATGTATTTTTAACATTCAGACAGAATTTTTCCCTTCCAGAAAATATCTCCGTAGACTATATACACTATGTACATACATTTATGCATGTCATGAATAGAATCATAACTGTCTGCAGTGAATTGTTTCTTGATTATGCTTGCCTTTCTTATGCGTTTTTTTTACATAATGAAGAAAAAAAAGAACGAAAATAAAAAGGAAAACAATTTCAGGCACAGAAAATAAAGTAATATTCTAAGAAATTATGTGCAATCCAACCGATTATTTTTCAACGATTTTTTTCCTATAGAGAGTCAAACACATACGCTTTAAGGAATATTCATAAAAAAAATTCTTGCAAAGAAAAAATCTACTTTACTTTCAATTGATCATGCGCTCAAGAAAAAAATTAAACTAAAGGAAGCAAAAGCGACAACAATAATGGACGGACTAAAAACATCGGGATTTATAACACACATCCCAACCTTATTAATATTATTAATAGGGAGCATTCATTGCATCAGATATTTTCTTTAAACAAGGAAAGACAACTCAAGATTTTCTTTAATGGTATAGTCAGTTTCTTTTATCAATTTATATACATTTAAATTGTGATAAATTGGGGGGGGGAGAGAAAAAAAAATATTGTGAGATATGTTTTATTTCATTAAGATCACTTCTGGTCAATTTTTATGTTGAATAAGTAAAACATTAACACAGTGTATTTTCAGTATGAAATACTGCATAGGTATATAAATGTGTTCACTAAATTTCTGTTTAATAAATACAGGTAAATTGAGTTTCAAGTATACCTGATTTCACATAAGCTACATATCTGCAGTTACTAGTACATGTAAATATTTCTGGAAGGTATCTATCTACATAATCATATTCAGTTATTATTTTTTTTCTGTTAACTGAATTCAACAAAAATAATTTATTCTGATATGCACACCATTTATATATCATATATCATATTGAAAAAAAGACAAAGTAAACAAACAGCATGCAATCATGTTTTTATTTACAAGAAATTTACCAAGCACTACATTTAGACAGACAATGGAATGTTCAACAACAAATAAGTTGTATATTGCAGGCAAATTTTATAATAAAGATTATGCTGTTTAAAAATGAAGTAAAAATTTATAAATCAATATTTAGATACCCTTCACAAGATCTCCAAATTTTGACTATTTTTTAATAAACAGAATTAAGTGCACATGTACATTCTAAATATTTTTTTTCCTACTCAAAAGAATTAAAGTTCCATTTTTTAAAGATAATCAACTTTATAATAAAATTTATAATAAAAATATTCAAGTGTTTCTTTCTTTACTGATCTGATTTAAAATACATGTACATGTGTAATTACAATATGTAATTCATATAGTTTAAGCATGCAATACCAGTGAGAGCTACATGTAGCTATTACCTCCCTTTTTTGCAAACACTTTCTACACTGAGATTGAATTAAAAACATTCAGTTTTAAGTTATAAATCTTATCTTATCATTTTATAACCTATGAAGTAACCTGTATGGCACAGTGGCAAGAGCATCTGCTCGAGAGTCATGAGTAAGGAGTTGATCCATAAATTGCTGGTTTGAAATCCCACAGTCGGACATAGATGAGACTGTATATACAGAGGTCCTGTGTTGCAGTAGGTGCTAGTACCAAAAAGATCCCTCATTGCTCAATTAGCCATGTGTGGCAAATAAAGTACAAAATATGCAGCTATCCACCAACAAATGTTGGTATCCCCATATGAGTGAAAATTTCTCAAGAAGAATGTTAAACAACGTACAAATAAACAATAAACTATAGAGTCTTTGAATATGCAAATTCTTTTTTTCTGAGAAAGGGATCCTCAAATGATGTTTAGATATGGTTCATATGAGTAGAAAAGTACTGTATCATCCCAGCTAGCCTTCATGAATTCAGCAACCATTTGTTATATGGCCTGAAAAATATAAAATGTTAATGCATTAACATAAAAGTATATGATTGATATTTTTATAATTCATCATAAATTAATTGAATCAATAAAATAAAGTCACACTTGTTATCTTGAAATGCTCATGGGACTGCTGAAAAAAGCTGAGATATCCAAGAGATTCAGGGTAAGATATATAGAAAAAAATGTCGTTCAAGGGACTTTAAATTGACTTTGATATCCCAATGTGTTCAAAATATCACTCAGTGTCAACTGTCAAAGATATATACCAAAGTTCAACTCTAAACCGAGTATATAAATTCATATATATGTATGCCATTTCTGTTGCTAATTCAATCTATAATCGTTCATTAATAATCTGCATGAGAAAGAGATATGTGCAAAATGAGCAAAATAAATTAACAAAAGTAAATCATATATATGCAATTCGAAGTGTTTGCAAATCATTCATCCAATTTGTAATACTGTCATGAACGTCAACATACCCTAGGTAGTCAAAGTTTTTTTGATTTTAAGATACTGTTGTTTAACTGTACTTATTTAGACTGCACTGTATTCACTTGTTTCCCAACAGTACACATTTTTCACATTATCTAAAATCCATCATTACTATCATGATGAGAGTTATGCCCCTTTTCTGTAACCCCAAAATATTGCTTTCTTTCTGAAAATTGTAGCTTTTTTGACCTTACATAGATATCAACTAAAGTCTCCATAAAATAGGAATTTAAATTATGAAAACATATTATTTTAATCTCTACTTAACTTAAAAGCCAAGAAATAAACAAAATTATTTTCCAATATTTACATAGGACTTTCAAGATAAACATTCTGTTTCTAATTATGGCACATCCATTACCCTTGATTCTGGGATTCTGTACTAGGATGTATTCATTCAAAAAATATGATGTATCGTGGCCCTGATAATCTTGTCAAAATTTCATAATAAAAGGGTTCAGCCTTAAATATTCCAGAGTAAAACTTTGACCCCCCCCCCCCCCCCGCACTGTGGACCCACCCTACCCTACAGCTTTATGATCTGAACAAATCTAAATCTGCTCTTAACTATCTCAGAGTGACTAATAATGACCTGCCTATTCTTGAAAAGAATTAAGATTTAATTTTTTGTCTACGGATTGCTATTGTTCTCTCTATTTTATTGCTGTACTCTATATACATCAATAACATATCATCACCAGTAATCAACATACCTTCTCTTTGGACTTGACATCCTTTCCTAGATTCTCGTGGTTGAAGCTTTCATCAGATAATTTGTTTTGTTACAGCTGAACTTCAAAGATGATTAATAAGTTAATACAATCCTCTACATTTAATTAATCCAAATAAAATACAAGCATTTGCAATAATGTGGAAAGAAATCTGAATGAAAAATACTGACAAATATCAATGCACTACATGCAAATCAGAAAAATATGTAATGCAATCACTTACAGTTTTCATAATAGGCTGATTATGTATCAGCATAATTTTCAGTTCATTAAATTGTTTGCTGAAACAGACAACCAACTGTATTTATAAATTCACTTTTAATGGATTATCTTCTGCCTTTGAACTTATTATGCAGCATGATAATGTGAGAATTTTTTCACCCATTCTTTATTACCAGGTATTAAAGTATCTGCTGAAAATAGAACAGAATAAGATTAAATCTTTTGAGAATTAAACAAAAACAAAAATCACCGATGCATGGTTATCAATTATATTGACCCTTTTATCAGCATCTCTCTCTCTCTCTCTCTCTCTCTCTGACTATATATTACTTTACACAGGATTCTTTTATACATTGATATATATGTACATGTAGATATTGGAGTAATTGGGCATGCTTAATATTTTTTATTTGTTTATTCCAATCAGCATGATCAGGATGATAATAATTAAATAATAATGTTGCATATTGAATATGTTATACATGACGTGTAATTTTATCCTTACAGTTACATATACAATACTCACAAAAGGCAAACCTTGAACTTGCACATCACTGTCTTCAGAGTATATCCTGCAAGAAACATTTGATCATAGCACATTACAAATGAATTGATTTGATTTTCTTTTTTAAAAGTTTATATTTGCTTTTTTTTGTTTTATTTTAATGAAATTATAATTTTTGTGCATTTAATACACTCAGTATCATCACTATCATGTGCATACATATTGAAGACCATTTTTAAATTCATTCAACAATGTCATTCTTCAAAAGAAAAGACATACATTGAAAACATGTAAAGATCAGTGAAGCCCATATTTTAAAAGTGGAGAAAATAAAATAAATTTCCTTGTGTGTATAATTTGTGTGGGATGGTGCATATCATTAAAAAACAATCAACAAAAAAAAAGACGGAATGTCTCGATAGCTGACTTTACAATGCAAGGCTAAAAAATAATTGAAGGCCCACTGGACTGGGGTCAGTGATTTTTGTTTTATCTAGGATAGACATGGTAGGGGGCATCTGTCTTTTGGGTCAGTTCTTTGTACATGTATAACAAAATACAGTTATAGTTGGGCTAGTAACTTGACAGGCTTGTGTCAAAGTTCTGTCATTTCGGATTCCTGTTTTGTTTAGATTAATTATTTGTCTAACTGTGTATCACATTAAATAAACAAAATATGACTATTACATTTATCATGATTATTATTATACCCCCGCTCCGAAGGAGAGGGGGGGTATACTGTTTTACCCTTGTGTGTCTGTCCGTCCGTCTGTGTGTCCGTGGAGCTGTGTGTCCGTCCGTAACAAATTTTCGTCGCAGTTTTCTCAGCAACTACCTACCGTAGATGCTTGAAATTTTAACACAATCTTCTCTGAGGCATGCCATATGGTGGGATACATTTTCACTCAAATCTGATTCAACTTCCTGTTTGTCTGTCCGTTTCATACATAACAAATTTTCGTCGCAGTTTTCTCTGCAACTACTTATTGTAGATGCTTGAAATTTTAACACAATCTTCTTTAAGGTATGCCATATGATGGGATACATTTTTGCTCAAGTCGGATATCAACTTCCTGTTTGTCTGTGCGTCTGTCCGTTTCATACATAACAAATTTTCATCGCAGTTTTCTCATTAGCTATTCATAGCGGATGGTTGTGATTTTATTACGCTCTTTGTTGAGGCATGCCATATGGTGGGATTAATTTTGATGTCAACCTCATATTTTTCTGTGCATCTCCCAGTAATTGAACTTGTGTGTATATTAACATGATAGTGCTTATTTACATCAGAGCGGGGGTATTACTAGTGAGCATTGGCTCACAGATTTCTTGTTATTATGGTTTTGGGTCGGTCTCTTTTTATTAAATCTAGTTGTCTGGGAGTGTGATATTGATATTATGATGATCTGACCAGTAAAAAGCCTGAGTGAGCAGAAAAAGAAAACTATTTCTAGCCTGGGCCTACAATGATTTCAAATTTGTGCTTCATTATACATTTTCTAAATTCAATAATGTTTGTTTATTTAACCTTATAGGGTCAATTGTGTTATTTTTGTCATACCTGGAGATGGCTGTTCAATATGTACTCTGCAGCTGTACCTGCAATGGACAAACAAAAAAGAAAATTACTTCTCATTTACACTGTAACACATTGAAATAATTAAACAATATGTAAATTAAATACATGTATTCTTACAAACAAAAATGCAAAACATCAATGTAAATTACCTTTAGCAATTATCTTTTCATTACACAGATTGATGCATGCATGCATGTAATTTATTATACCCCCCACTTGAAAAGTGGGAGGGTATATTAAGTAACTGGTAGTCTTATTAAGTAACTGGTATGTCTGTGGGTCTGTTATGCTTTGGTGTACCCATCTCTTATCCGCTAATTCCTCTAATACCACTGAGTGATATTTGATGACTTTCACAGAATCTTTATTACATATTGCAATCGTGCATCTTCTATGTTACTTTTTGATCCGCCACATATTTGGGGTTTCCCATAGCAAAACATGGACACAGTCATTATATTCATATGAGAATTAGCGGTAGGTATCATTTAGTGTCAGAGCTCATTGCTCACAGTACCTTTAGTTTTATAATATTTATACTATTTCAGTAGCTACTTTTAGATGGGCAATACTTTAAAATGGAAAATAGTTGTACACATAGAAATATTCAAAATTTTCATAAACTGCATATGTGATTGATTGATTGTATGTTGTTTAGAATGTCCCTCTCGAGAATTTTTCACTCATATGGAGACGCCACCACTTGCCGGTGGAGGGCTACAAATTTTGGGAGAGGGCCTTTGAGCAGGGAGGAATCATTTTTGTGCCAGCACCTACAGCGACACGGGGCCTCGGTTTATATGGTCTCATCCAAAGACCGGTCTCCATGTCCCACAGTGGGATTCGAATTAGCGACGTAAGGATTGACTCCTTACTTCCTGACTCTAGAGCAGACGCTCTAATCACTGCGCCACGCGGGCGACAAGTTTCATACCTGATATATACACAAGTATGTGAGAATTTACTGCATTGACATCATCTGATCAATCACAAATTCTATATGATATTAAATTAAAAGTAACAACCATATTTTGATCAGTATAGGCTCTAGTGAAAACTTCATGATTGATATAAACAGCTGACACTATTAAAACTGCAAATAAATGTAAACAAACCTTGAATCCTTTATCCAGGTACACATGTTTATGTGTAGAGGAAATTCGGGAGAACTTCTTGTGCATACACACGAGTACGGATAGAATTAAATTTTAGTCTCTTGGTATTTGAAAAAACACATATGGTTCTCACAAATCACTGGGTATTGATAAAGACTTTTATACGCGTAACTCTGCATATGCATGCATAAGACTACCTTACAAGTAGGAACGAACTATAGCATGTATAGCACACCTGCATTTTCTCTTCAATTTTAGACATGCTATTAACAGCATTTGACAAATATGCTCTAAAATATTTAGCCATTGTGTGCTAGAGGTAATCGAAAAAATAAATGAAATTCTACTAACGAGTGTTTTTGTTCACTAAATCAATGTATGTGGGTTAATCCTTACCATCACAACTACTCCCTTCCACGTGGAAACATGTTTACAAAATCGAGAAGTGCTGTTTTGACACTTTAAAGTGCAATAGCACTTGACAGAATAAGAAACTGCAAACCTACTTTCACTTTTCAGGTAAAGAAACGTTTGTTTTTCAACTTTTTGCAATTTACAAATCTTATAAATCGAGATAACATAAAGTTTTACCTCTTTTTTCATGTTGAATTTCTCTCTCGATTTTCACCTGTAGCATGTTGGTCTCGCTGAATTCTCGCGTGGAAAGCTGTTCGGACGTTTACGGATTTTGTTCATATTTTATTACGTTTATCTCCGAATTCTTCCGATTTATGCTAATGAGGTTAGGAGGTGTGTATAAAATCAAACTCATTTGTTTAAAAGTATGATAAGACTTACTAATAGTATAACTACTGGTTTTTCTAAAAATACTAAACTAGCTCATACAGAACGTATATTTAAAAAAGGAGATAAATGTCAATATGAAAAGTGGTTGCTTGTAAAGAACTTGTATAAAATGCTAGTGATACCTTTCGTGCACTTAATAAAAGACGGAGTTTACTATAAATTAACTTAGGCCGAAAGAAAGAAACGGCTTAATTAAGTAGCCAATCAAAAGGAACTTCTTCGTTCTTCGTATAGCTCCGCCTACTTAATTTACATACCGTTCACCAAAGCGTACCGTCCATAAAACGAATTGGGTACCGTTCACAAAGCGCACCATACGGTTCACAAAACGAAACGAAACGTATTGTGCAAGTGGTGTTGTATAAGCACGTTTTAGGGTATGTAATCTTAAACAATATGTGATGAACTTTTTTCGGGCATTATTACACTTAAGTCAGGTACTGACCCACAGTCACTTCTGTGTTTCAGTATAAATTTTTAACCTAAGTTATAATAATAACACGTGTTATTATTATATCACTATGGGTTAAAAATTTATTACCGAAAAAAGTGCCTATGTATTGACCCATTAATAGGCTGTATGCTTTACTGTATACAGGGTTATAATATTCGCCCCGCTTTACTTTCGCCCTTTCACGCTTGCAAACAGTTTTGCCCCGTTTTAAAATCGCCCAATCACAGTTTTATTTTAGAAATTGTATACTTTGAAATCGCCCCTCTTTAAAATCGCCCAAACAAGGCATGGGCAAAAGGGGGCGAAAATAACTCAGGGGCGAAAAATTTCCCTGTATAGTTTTTAGTTCTTATTATATGATTGTAAATAATTTTAATTTTAATTTCATAAAAACATGAAAAGAAAAATATTGATTTTAAAATCAAAATAGATTGTTTAAGCAGACGTTTCTTTATATTTCTAAAATTGTTAACTTAAATATATCATAACAACCTCAACCCTCCATATAGGCATAAAAATGAGACATTCAAGGGAAGCAATTCTTTCTGGTACAAAAACAGGTTGTTTCCCCTTTCATCGATCTTTTGGACACTTGCTCATGGAAGAAAGGGCATATTCAGGTCAGGCACTTCTTTCATAAAAATGAATTTGTATACTTCGATCAACTTGATTGTGCCTTACATGCACCTTTGGGCGTTTGTATACGGGTAATTCTTTACGTGTAATGTTTTGATAGAAATATGAAATATTTTGTCTTCTTGTTTACGTTACCATACTTCATTAGAATTTCCTATGTTGTATACCGTGGCTATCTTACCTGAATATGTGCAGGTATTGAATGTGACCTGTGGGTTTTGGGCTTTAGTAGTTCCCCTAGATCGTCCACTAGGCCAAGTATGACTGCCCGACTTCTCTTCATCCAAAATAACTCGTAAAATCTTTAGAGCAGCCATGTTTATTAGAAATGACGCAATTTACTACAATTTCTTAACTTAAGACAGCCCCCTACCTCTTGTAAGTTACGACGATTTTATTAGCAATTTTTGTCGTAACTTAAGGAAAGAAGTTTAGTAAGACAGAAATTCATCGTAACTTACGGTTACGATCAAATCTTATCTTAAGATAGGTTAGCAAAACTCAAGCCAGATCTCTTTAGGAATTAAAACCGACTTTGCATCTTTTATTACTTTCGATAAGTGTTTTCGTAAAGATCCAATCTCTTGTCGGTTTGGTAAAGGTTATAACTATTATTCACAAAAATACAAATTAAGTTATTGAGAACGTCAAGCTTTGCATGCTAATCCAAGAGATTATTCAGAACCCCTTATAGTGAAACCTTCATTTACAGAAAAAGCTATTTTAAAATCATTAAGCTACGGCGGTAATAAGATTTGGAAACAAATATTAAACCAGAAGTCTCTGTCGAGACTGTAGCTCTACTGGTTTATACTTAAAACAAAGGACGAGAAAAGTAGCAGTTGGGACCCGAGACTTTAAATTAGCAATAAATAGGAAAATGATTCTTGCCACTCTTCAAAATAAAAACCGATGCACAGAATTATGTATCTTAGTATAATCTACTTGTGTGCCAAGTTATATTGAAATCAGACCAAAACTGTAGGAGGAGTAGCATTTTGAAACAATTTCACAGAAATTTCTATTTTTAGTAACCATGGCAACACCGTTCATCGAAATCAAAAACCAATGCACAGAATTATGTATCTTAGTGTAGTCTACTTGTGTGCCAAGTTATATTGAAATCGGACCAAAACTGTAGGAGGAGTAGCATTTTGAAGAAATTCACAGAAATTTCTATTTTTAGTAACCATGGCAACATTGTTGATCGAAATCAAAAACCAATGCACAGAATTATGTATCTTAGTGTAGTCTACTTGTGTGCCAAGTTATATTGAAATCAGACCAAAACTGTAGGAGGAGTAGCATTTTGAAACAATTTCAAAGAGATTTCTATTTTTAGTAACCATGGCAACATTGTTCATCGAAATCAAAAACCAATGCACAGAATTATGTATCTTAGTGTAGTCTACTTGTGTGCCAAGTTATATTGAAATCAGACCAAAACTGTAGGAGGAGTAGCATTTTGAAACAATTTCAAAGAAATTTCTATTTTTAGTAACCATGGCAACACCGTTCATCGAAATCAAAAACCAATGCACAGAATTATGTATCTTAGTGTAGTCTAATTGTGTGCCAAGTTACATTGAAATCAGACCAAAACTGTAGGAGGAGTAGCATTTTGAAGAATTTCACAGAAATTTCTATTTTTAGTAACCATGGCAACATTGTTCATCGAAATCAAAAACCAATGCACAGAATTATGTATCTTAGTGTAGTCTACTTGTGTGCCAAGTTATATTGAAGTCAGACCAAAACTGTAGGAGGAGTAGCATTTTGAAACAATTTCACAGAAATTTGTATTTTTAGTAACCATAGCAAAACCATTCATCGAAATCAAAAACCGATGCACAGAGTTATGTATCTTAGTGTAGTCTACTTCTGTGCCAAGTTATACTGAAATTGAACCAAAACTGTTGGAGGAGTAGCATTTTGAAACAATTTCACAGAAATTTCTATTTTTAGTAACCATGGCAACACCGTTCATCGAAATCAAAAACCAATGCACAGAATTATGTATCTTAGTGTAGTCTACTTGTGTGCCAAGTTATATTGAAATCGGACCAAAACTGTAGGAGGAGTAGCATTTTGAAGAATTTCACAGAAATTTCTATTTTTAGTAACCATGGCAACATTGTTGATCGAAATGAAAAACCAATGCACAGAATTATGTATCTTAGTGTAGTCTACTTGTGTGCCAAGTTACATTGAAATCAGACCAAAACTGTAGGAGGAGTAGCATTTTGAAACAATTTCACAGAAATTTCTATTTTTAGTAACCATGGCAACATTGTTCATCGAAATCAAAAACCAATGCACAGAATTATGTACGCAATACAGTTAAGGTGCGCAATGGAAATATCGACTAAATTTTGTATTTAAAAATGTATTCGTAATCGGGATGGCGATTATTTTTAGTACATTATTTATATCGGATAATTGTAATTATGATTAATAGCTTCATATCGAAGACGATTATATTTTATATTTAGACTAGTCACGTGATGCAGCAGTCACACGATTTAAGCACATTGACTTGAAGTACTGATGTTACATATAAATGTCACTAGTGCAAGGGCATAACTAAATTAAATTTCCAAAGTTTAGTACATAAATATTTTCAACACGCATTGTAGTTTCTAAAAAGTGCTGCGATCCTGTCTAAATTCTGCAATTTCATTATTAAAATTATACTTGTATGACCGAACGTTATATTTTTTGCTGGTCAGCGGCATGAAATATTGATAATATAAAATTATTTTTAAGATTTCATCAGGATCGCAGCACTTTCCAGATACCTTAATAGTTCTGTAGTTGAAATGTAAAAGCTTACTTTGATCCATAGAGTGTATGCCCTTGCACTAGATCGATTTATTAAGACCTCCCACATTACCCTCCGAGGTACTTGCATACAATTATATGGCAGTGTCAATTAAATACGTAATGCACAGAAAATATATTAAGAAAATAGTAAAGAAGACATTAAATTCAAGTTATTGTCCCATATAATATCTGTAAATAGTGTTTTATTTAATTAGAGAAAACATATTTTGTTGAGAAAATATTGCTGAATCTGTCTCTCACTGCATACAAACTACGTCACGTTGTAAGAAATGACGTCATATTGACAAGTGTATTGCGATCAGTGACTTGTTTATAACTTGTTATGTGGGATTTAACTAACGACAAAACGACACGCTGTAGTAAGTTTTTATGTCGTTTGATGATTTCTTACTAGTGAAATTAGCAGATAAACTCATTTTGTGGTATTTTTAAGAGATGTTGTATGACGTATATTGTGTATGATGTCATAGTCAATTTTCCCGTACAAATTAGGCTCCGCCTCCTTTTTGTAACCTTAACTGTGCTGCGTATCTTAGTGTAGTCTACTTGTGTGCCAAGTTATATTGAAATCAGACCAAAACTGTAGGAGGAGTAGCATTTTGAAACAATTTCAAAGAAATTTCTATTTTTAGTAACCATGGCAACACCGTTCATCGAAATCAAAAACCAATGCACAGAATTATGTATCTTAGTGTAGTCTAATTGTGTGCCAAGTTACATTGAAATCAGACCAAAACTGTAGGAGGAGTAGCATTTTGAAGAATTTCACAGAAATTTCTATTTTTAGTAACCATGGCAACATTGTTCATCGAAATCAAAAACCAATGCACAGAATTAT